CGTCAAAAATCACGAAGAAACGTCATAGTATAGTATGTCGTCAAAAATCATGAAAAAACGTCATAGTATAGTATGTCGTCAAAAATCACGAAGAAACGTCATAGTATAGTATGTCGTCAAAAATCATGAAAAAACGTCATAGTATAGTATGTCGTCAAAAATCACGAAAAAACGTCAGTATAGCATGTTGTCAAAAATCATGAAAAAACGTCATAGTATAGCATGTTGTCAAAAATCACGAAAAAACGTCATAGTATAGCATGTCGTCAAAAATCATGACGAGATTTTTTTCACGGTTTTTGACAGCATGCTATACTATGATGTTTTTTAGTGTTTTTTGACGACATACTATACTATAATGTTTTTTGATGATTTTTGACGACATACTATACTATGAGGTTTTTTTTGTTGATTTTAAACTCATTATGGAAACATTAAGATGCACCCTATTGTGTCCCTGATAGTGTTACATTGTGAACAACATATCCGTATTTACAGGAGAAGAGCTGTATGGTTAGCTGTAAGCAGCTGGTGGCTGAAACTTAAACAGCTGATGGAGGCCTCATTGAGTTAAATTATGATGCATTCATGCTCCCTTGGTTTAAAATCAGTATTGAGCTATGGTCAATGACATTGTCCTCACAATGTGTTCACTGAAACTTGATGAAGATTTCTTTGTGTCCCTGGTACAAAAGGGGGAATGAATAACAACAAAAACAAAATAAACAACAACAAAAAAAAAAACACTGGCATTGGCTATGGGCCAAATTGTTATTTTAAACAGATGCATCATTCCAGAATTTCACAAATGTTGCATCCCTGAAATGTCGTACTGTTTCATCTTTATTGAGGGTTTTTTTTAATTTTCTGAGGTCGTGTTCATCAATAAGAAAAATGTCGACCTACTTTAGCACTGAGCTGGAGGACGACTTTCAGGTTGGTACTTTTTTCAGACCTGAACACTGTCCCTGTCTGCTGAAGCAGAGCTCTGTGGTTGGTCGCTTTGAACATCAACAACAAGAAACATTTTCTGTCCGACGCAGGCAGCTCTTGAACATAACGTGAACTCTGTCGTCACAGGAGCTTAGAACTCTTTTATCTCCTGCTTTGGTTGCCACCTCGCGCTACATTGGACAATAAAGTTTCCTCTTTGACTGCCTCACTTTGTTTTTAAATAATGGTTGGTGGCGTATGTTTTGTCGCATGTGACGATCGCTCTCATGTTTGCTTAACTTCCCTCAACGGGAAAATATTTGATATGACTGAAGGTGCTGAGAGAAACATGTGACCACCTGTGTGAGGATGAGCTGTGCTGGCTGTGGAGACGCTGCCTTCACTGGTCAAACTGGGATTGGTGGTGGAAATGCTGCCTTCGCTGGTCAAACTGGGATTGGTGGTAGAAATGCTGCCTTCACTGGTTATACTGGGATTAGTGGTGGAGATGATGCTTTCACTGGACGAGCTGGGGATGGTGGTTGAGAGGTCGTTGTTAGTAGACAAACTGGGGTTGGAGGTGGACATGATAACGTCTGTGGTCTTGCTGTTGGTGGTGATTTCCCTTGAGGACGTCGTGGCCACGATGCCTGTGGTGCTCAGAGGCAGACTGGTGGTGCTGAGACCTGGGAGGAGAGCACACTTTGAAGCTTAGCGGTTTCACCTCAAGTCCCTGTTTTGTCCGAACCTTAAAGGTGCTTTAGACTGGACGCAAAGTGAATTTTCACCTTAATTTATTTGCACAAACCTGACTGTGAGAGGATTTTTAAAAATTTGCTACAAACATCCAACGAGCTCAACATGTGCTCACAGAGCTCCTTTGTTTTTGTTTGTTGGCAGCTCGGACCTCGAGCCTAATTTATTATGTGTACAAAGAGGAAGAACCGCCTGACAGAGAAGAGGTTGGGTGGTATGATGGTATATATTGTGCAACAGTAGAAATGTGTCTACTGGTAAAGATCTGGCAATATGGTTTCTACCGCGGGAGCTATTTGGGGCAGGCTAAGCAGCAAATCAGGGCAGGACTCTCAGACGATCTCACGAATCCAGCTGCCTCGCAAGGTCGCAAGGTGATTTGGGTGTATCACGATACCAGAAGTTTAATGGTAGTCAGTGAAATTTCATGATTCTCAACAGCCAATAAGATATCGCAATAAAAAACCAAAGCAATAAACATATGTGAAAATGTGACAGTTGGGTTTTGTGGTAGGCTTTCTGTCCCGCCCCTCCTCCACTGTGATTGGACAGCTGGGTAAAAAGTGACAGTGCTGAGCGCAGCGTTGAACATTTTTTGACCTCGTTTGTCACAGAGTGTGAACACACAGCCCTCCCATTGCAAAGAATTAAAAACAATACGCTCGCATCAGGAAGAAACGCTTTTCTTTTTAGGAGTCGAGCTGCTGCTGCAGCTTGTTGCTGTCTCTGACATGTTTTTGTTGTTCTTGTGTGCTGGTAAGCGTTCTTCTTTAATTCATTCATTCATTCATTCAGTCATTTTCCTTAACCCCTTATCCTGTTAGTGGTCCCTGCAGGGGGGCTGGAGCCTATCCCAGCGGACACTGGGTGAGAGGCAGGGTTCACCCTGGACAGGTCACCAGACTATCACAGGGCTGACACATAGAGACAGACAATCATTCACACTCACATTCACACCTACGGACAATTTAGAGTCACCAATTAACCTGCATGTCTTTGGACTGTGGGAGGAAGCTGGAGCACCTGGAGGAAACCCACGCTGGAACATGCAAACTCCGTATGATTGTGGGAACTGCCCATTGGTCCGACAATTCATTGTTCCGACCATATTAAACCCATTGTTCCGAAGTCCGTTCTGAAATCATCATGATGCCCTGTGGTTAAGGTCTGGTTAGGTTTAGGCACAAAACCACTTGGTTAGGGTCAGGAAAAGATCATGGTGTGGGTTAAAATGAAAAAGAAAGTGACAAACACATAAGCCGTGAGCCTGCTTCGTCTCAAGCCTTTCCCAGCTGACCCAGAGCCAGTCACGGCGCACCATCAATGTAGAAATACGCCCGTCGGAAGCTGTTCAGCACCGTGGACCGTTGGACTAATGGAATGTCAGACCAATGGGCTGTCGGACCAATGACATGGACCCCTGATTATATGGGACTTCCAAACAAAAGAGAAAAATAATCAAATGTGATTCAGTCTGGTATGATTATTTTGAACCATTTCTTCTTTGAATTTACAGAGCAATTACTGTATTGTCGTGATATATACCATCCCTCGGAGATAAGATTAAATATGGTCAAAGTAGTAGAAAATTTTGGCCATATCACCCAACTCTAGCCTCTTGTAATAAATGAAGTAAATGCTCTTTCACTGGAAGTTAGAACTGTAGCAAACCTTTAAAACATATGGATCAATTTGAAAAAGACTGCCAATAAAAATTAGTGTAAAGAAACAAGTGTTATGGGATGAGGGTGGTAAACCTCAGCCAGCAGCCCTTCAGTAATCCTACAGTACACTCCAAAGAGCTTATCTAGTGCTTGGATGTAGTTATACTCATTTTGTACCACACCATTTTGGTGTGAACAGGCAGGTTTTTAGAACGTTCCAGAACAGCACATTGCAAGTAGTTACCTGTTTCAACTTGTCTGGTCACGAATCTTTGGTCTGAGCTGGGATGGGTCGGTGAGAAACACCCAGTTCAGCCAGGAACACTTTAGTAAAAGAAATTTATTTCCATTTGCAGTATTATATTTGGTGGTATGACTGTTCCGGGGCCTCTCTGCCTTTCCCCGGGCCTACGCAGAAAAAGCCTTTTCCAAGCGAATACGAGGAAAGCCTTATGCAGGTAGAGCACACCCTTCCATGCGCCTACAACGAAAGCCTAAGGCAGAAAGAGCAGCAGCAAAGACCCCCGAAGAACAGAACAGAGCAGCGTCAATGACAAACAGAAATGACATTGATAAGTCAGACACAACATGAAAAGGAGGAGCTGGGGTGGAGGCAGGTTGCAAAGCGGCGTGCAGAGGAAGCAGCAACAGGAGGCAGGCCAGAGCAGTTTAAACAGGGCACCCTGAATGAGATTCGCCAATAGTTGCATAGAAAGGAATCATGTGATCTATCAGCTGACTCCCTTCCATCAATCAGCTGCTCCATCAGTTGATTGGGCTTCTTGAGATCAGCTTGACATCGTGTCCTGCCTGAACTAACGCTATGCTCAATGTTTGATGCCACAGACGCTGCTAGGAAACACCATAATGTGCTGCTTAGAACACTCAGGTTTGGGGCCACAAACACAAGTTGCAGCAAAACAAGTTGTGTGGTTATTTTCAGACATAAAAACCACTCGGTCGTGGTTATGCTTAAAAACAACAAGTCTGGTTGTTTGTTGGTTTCGATCAATAGTTCACAACTGCAACTTGGCAGCAATCTTCCCTAGGTGTCACGCCATCCACCATGCCCTCCACAATCTGGTGACAAAGTCAACTACATCACTTTAGAAATGTTGATATGATGTTTAGTATAAAATGTGCAAATGTAATGTATTCATGGTGTACAGACATTTTTTGACAACATTTTCTTCTGGCAACTGGACTGCACACACACACATGGTCAGTAGTGCATATTCTTGATGGATTTATTACATCCCCTTTGTGGAAATGTCAGCACCTGTCGGCACAAACATTTTGCATAAAAACGGTTGATAAATGAGGCCCACACACTAACTAACTTTCCAGGAGCTTCAGATGTTCCCTTTGGTTTTTAGCTCCTGTCTGTAAACATTTACGAGGTGAAATCTTAAAGCTTCAGGAAATGCACAAATCTGTTACACAAGCTGAAGAAATCAAGCTAATCAGCTTTGGCTGCATGAGTTAACACAACCACGACGCCTCCAAAATTCACTTTTTGTTCAGTCTGAACCCTGAGGAGAGCTCTGACACTTGAACTGTTGCATTTTAGTTAGTTAAGTTAAGCTTACGAGAGCACTGCCGATCAACAACTGCATGAAAAGGTCTTCCGTGACATCCAAGTAAACTCTGTTGCTGTTTTTAGGTGACATCAGAGCAGACCAACCACAGGACTGTTCCACAGTGAATAAATGACACTGTTCAAAAACAGAACTATTCACAAATGACAGGGACGAATCAGCCTCTGTTTCCCACACAGTAGATGACACAGACCCAACAGGGCTAGGTACTAAATTTACACCCTGGTTCTTTTGTGTTAAATCTCCTGATTTCATTAAAAGGTTCCTGGAAAAGTTCTGTGTTGGAAACAGGTCTGAAATGGATTAAAATGAAAGGATATTTTGCTCTGGAGGGATCAGCACCTGATTTGCACATTGCAATTTGCATGTTACAAGCTCTTCATGCTGGCAGCCATGTTTGCACATATTTTTATGGTCATGCAGTACATTAAAGGACAACACTGCACTGAGCCACAGATGAAGCAGAGCCACAGCCATTTTGTTGACTTTTATACTTTAGTAAAGCCTTTAGTGAAATGTTTTCTTCCTACCTGAAGTCACCTCCACTGAGAGCTGAGCTGTGGCTGATTGGTCATTAGAGGTGTCCATCGCCACGACCTGGAAGCACATCGTTTAAGTTGAGTATTTAAGTAAGACAATGACCTATCAATCAGTCACTTTGGATTAATAAACTCACTTGCAGAGATAACGTGCCCTCTGGGAGATCCTTTGTCATGAATAAATAGCCTTCAATGATGGAGAAATCATCGCTCCCGTTAACGTAGTAAGTGATGTAGGGATTTAGACCCTGTTTGAACAGAAATGAAAAGGTTAGTGCTGCACATCAAGTTGGTGGAACTCTGCCAAAGACTTATTGCCGAGGTCCAGACCTTTGAATCTGTTGCTCCACTGAGTTAGAGTTTTGCCTGGTATTGTGACATGATCCACCAGTTTAAAGGTTAGAATAAAGAGCGATCCAGTGAGTGCTACGGAGGGGATTAACACTGTTGTCAAGCTCTTGTCAAGCGTTGTCAAGCCATGTGCGAAAACCAGTGAGAAATTATAACAACAATGGCGAGCACTGTAGATCAAGATCAAGATGTCTTTTCAATACTGTATGACACTGTATTTTGTTTTTACTGCGCTCTGCTCCACTCTTAAAACCCTGGCAAAAACAGTGTGTTGGCATGGCTACACACCAGTGTCAATCAATCAATCAATCAATTTTATTTATAAAGCCCAATATCACAAATCACAATTTGCCTCACAGGGCTTTACAGCATACGACATCCCTCTGTCCTTATGACCCTCACAGCTGATCAGGAAAAACTCCCCAAAAAAACCCCTTTAACGGGGAAAAAAAAAAC